GGCATTGGTGAGGGCCTTCTTACTGTGTCATGTCATGATGGAGGGCATCGCACAGCAAGAGGGCAAGAGTGCGCCTATCAGCTCAGGTCTTGTTTCCCCTTCCTAGAAAGCTACTAGTTCTAAGGCCAGGCATGGTGGTTTACACCTGTAATCCCAGCACTCTGGGAGGCTGAGGCAGGTGGATTGCTTAAGCTCACAAGTTCCAATAACAGCCTGAGAAAAAGAGAGATCCCATCGCTAAAAAACAGCTGGGCACTCTCCTGACGTGGCTGCCTGCTTATCCAATGCGCCAAATCCAGTTTCCCTCAATGCCCCTGAGGGCCAAGGGTGTTAATCTGCCAAACACCTGGATCTCCACACTTCTCCAGCGTCACAGCTCCCGCCTTTGGGCAGCTCAGTTACTAGATTACTTGCCCCAGGACTCCTGGAGGATCCCCACGCTGCACCACGCAGAAGCAGTTCCCCCGCAGTATCTGGGCATTAGCTCCTTACCGGCTCAGTGGCTCAGTCCGTGGGGGCCCAGACAGTGCCCAAAGTCATCCGCACACTGGCCCCAGGTCTCCCAAAGCAGTTCAATGGAGTGCCCAAGTCCAGATAAACCAAAACAGCCCCCAGGCAAGGCTCTTCCCGCTTGTAGTCTCGTTGTTGCTATAGGTACAGCTGCAGGCAGCCTCCGACTGAACAAACAGGCACCCACTACTTGCCGGTTTTCCACTGCTTTTGACATCCTTGTGGGGTTCTAAAGTCTGGCACTGACTTCCTGGGTCACCAGAGGACAGTCTCTGGGCAAAACCCACCGCCAGAGATGCTTGGAATCTTCTCTCCCCCTTCTCACTGCGCCCGGTTACACAGAAGCTGCTACTCGGCTGCCATCATATATTACTTAAACATCAATTTTTAATTCAACATGTCAATATGTTGTTTTCATATTGTATCCTTATTCATCAGTGAAATATGTCTATAATTTCCCCTTTATAATATTTTTTCTAATTTTACTATCAAGGGTATCCAGACTAAGTAGAATGATTTTGAAGTATTTCTATTTCTACTGTCTATAAGACTTGGCGTGATCTGTTGTTTTTTTTTTTGTTTGTTTTTTAGAAATTATATTTTACTTTTATTTATATATATTAGTCGTCTATTTTTTTTTAGACTTTGGTAAAAACATAATAAGTAAAAAATTTGTTTGCTATTTGTATTTTGTCTTGTGTATTCTGTAACAAACAAGTAGTAAATGATTATGTATCCAAAAATAATTGTACAGGTAAGCTATATTGATAGGTACTTTCTATTTTGGTTGCTGATACAATGCTATCTTTCTTTTTCTAATATTATTTTATAATTCTTTTTTATATAGGAATATAATTGATTTTGTGTAGTTATTTTGAAGTTAGCGATATCACTGAATTTTTCTATTGTTTTTGGTAACTTGCAAGTAACTTGGTAACTTGGAAGTAATGAAATTTGTACTTTTTTTTACAAACTATTGGGATTTTTAAATTATCATAATTGTACTAGTTAGGATCTTCAACTTTACTAGGAGTGGTGGTAATGGGTATACTTATCTCATAATTGATTTGTAGATAATGCTTTTGTTTCCTTATAAAATTGATACATTTGTCCCAATGTTATCTTCAATGATTATGTCAATGTTTTGCCTATAGTTGATGTTCTGTAAATATTCATGGAATAAAGGAGCCTGAAATATTAAAAAAAAAAATGACAAAAAAAAAAAAACATCTGGGCATTGTGGTATGGGCTTATAGTCCCAGCTATTCAGGAAGCTGAGGCAAGAGGATTGCTTGAGCCCAAGAATTTGAGGTTGCTGTGAGCTATGATGTCATGGCACTCTTCTGAGGGTGACAAAGTGAGACTATGTCTCAAAGAAAAAAAAAAAAAGAAAGCTACCAGTTCTTATACATATACCATGGAGTACTATTCAGTCATTAAAAAGGATGGCGACTTTACATCTTTTGTATTAACCTGGATGGAGGTGCAACACATTCTTCTTACTAAAGCATCACAAGAATAGAGGTGCAAGAATCCAACGTACTCAATACTAATACGAAGCCAGTAGACAATCTAATACATGCCCACAAACTCAAATCAATTCAAGGTGGAGGGTGGGGGTGGGAGAACGAGAGAGTGGGGAGAAGAGAAGAGGGAGAGGGAAGGGTGTGCTCCCACTTAATAGGCACAACGTTATGGGGTACGGCACACCTCTTGGAGGCAGGAACACAATTATAAGGGGGACTTTACCTAAAAAATGCAAACATTGTAACCTCAAATTAACCTGGGGCAATAAGAAAAAAGAAAGTCATGGGGACCCCATCCTGATGACCTTATCTAATCCTAACTATCTCCGAAAGGCCTCACCTCTAAATATCATCAACATACGAATTTGGGGAACACGTCAAACCATACCATCACTCATCTTCAACCTAAGACATATAATTCTGGGTTTCCATAGTATCTGAAAATATTTAACAAAGCAATTGCCATAGCACATGAAAATTAGCCACTTAATAGTTGCCCATTTATAGGCTGTAAACTCTTCAAGGCTTCTATCTTCATAGTTACAAATACTTTCAAAGGTTCAATACATATTTATTTATTTATTTTTCAGACAGAGTCTCACTTAGTCACCCTTGGTAGAGTGCCGTGGCATCTTAGCTCACAGTAACCTCCATCTCCTTGGTTCAAGTGATCCTCTTGCTTCGGCCTCCCAAGTAGCTGGGACTACAGGTGCCTGCCTCAATGACTGGCTAGTTTTTAGACATAGGGTCTTGCTCTGGCTCAGGCTGTTCTCAAACCTGTGAGCTCAGGCATTCCACCCACCCGGCCTCCCCAAGCACTGGGTTTACAGGCATGACCCACCACACCCGGCCCTCAATGAATATTTATTAAATTTATTAAATAAATGAGAGAACAAACCTATCTCATTCCTTTTATTGCTCTAGCTTTTAATCGCTTGAATTTACTCCTATTTGATCAGCTGATTGCTCACAATTTTAATCAGCTTTATACTTTAAAAAAGGACAAAAATTCTTCTTAGCCATCAAACAAAAATCAGAAACTTAAAATGTCAAAAATGGCAAAAACTGAGTTCAATCTAGTCCAGGGGTCCTCAAACTTTTTAAACAGGGGGCCAGTTCACTGTCCCTCAGACAGTTGGAGGGCCGGACTGTAGGCCCTGGGGACGAGTCGACTGCTAAGCAGAGGTGGCAAAAACATCCGGTGGGCTCGATAAATGTCCTAGGTGGGCTGCATGTGGCCTGTGGGCCGTAGTTTGAGGATGCCTGATAGTCACTAGCTGGAAAGTATCCTTTCATAAATTCTTGTGATTGATGTTCAGTAAACACGCGGCATCATACCACTGTCTCCCAGTGTCCTCTACAACATAATCACGTTGTGATCATCACTCTTACATGCCTCATGTATTATTTATACCTATTCTTCTTTCTCCCTGATACAAAAGAGGTCCTGCTGACTTTCTCTGTTGATGTCACCAGTGGTGCTCCTTTCTTTGTATAGCCTCTCTGCCTTTAATCTCAGCCAATTTAGTTTGCCCAGACTAGTTGCATTAATGAAATAATTTGGTATAGTCAAAATTAAGGCACATATAGGGAATTTCTATTGCCTGGTAGGTAAGATTCAAATTATATAGAATCTACAATTCTTTTCCTGGCTAATCCATTCCATATTCATCTCTACCAGCATTCTCCAACATATTTCCTCTATTTAAAACAACATAGTTCCTTGTGCTTCAAAGTATGCGTTTTCCATTGAAGCCAAGGAAATATTCTTTCTGGACTCTATAGTAAATTTGAAAATCCCTTCACTGTTGCCTTTGTACACATGCTAGAGCTTTTCCTATTTTTGTTGTGCCCTGATTCATCTTTTAAAACCCTCTTTTATATCTCTGAATTTCCTTAATTACCTTCAGATCATATATTGCTCCTTCATCATATAATCCTTCAACATTTGGATTTTGTCCAAAATAACAATATTTTGATTCTCATTTGTATGTTGTTCTGTAAGTTTTCTAAAAAATCTTCATGCATTACTCTTAAATGATTGACAACAGGTGGATTGTTCTCCTCTACTGGTCTTAATTTCACAAAAGATAATCTTTTTTTCTTTTTTTTTTTTTAGAGACAGAGTCTCACTTTATTGTCCTCAGTAGACTGCCTTGCCATGGTGTCACAGGTCACAGCAACCTCCACCTCCTGCGCTTAGGCAATTCTCTTGCCTCAGCCTCCTAAGTAACTGGGACTACAGTTGCCTGCCACAAAGCCCAGCTGAGCCATAGGCGCCACCCTACAAAAGACAATTTCTTAATAGATGCTGTTGACTTACTATCTTGCATCTAAGGGTACTCAATAAATGCTCTGAAACAAAGTGAATTAGATAGTTATTTTCAATAAACTATTCTCAAGAGAGAGTGAAACAAAGGAACCAGTAAATTTAGTGTTTAAAATCAACAATATTTCCCCAAATCCCACTCAGCTTCTAACATTTGCATTATAGTCTTATCATATGTATTCCAATGGTCCTTCTGTTTACTCTCTCTCTTTCTCACAACACACACACACACATCCACCACCAAGTGTTCATGGGAAAAAGCAAATTGAAAACACTAGAGAATATCAAGCTTCATATAAGTCTCACTGCTCATATTTATTTACATATTGATATGATGTCACCATATTAGTATTTTTCACACTTAAGAGTTTTATTTATAGAGCCTATGTCAAAGATAATGCCTTAAATAATTTTTTATAAAATCTGCAAAATTTACTTACCTAAATAATTTAGCAAGAAGAAATAAAAAAAGAAAATTCCGCAGTAAATGTTTCTGCCCATTTTGAATAAAAAGTTTGCATATTATATTCACTTTTATATATTTTTTAAAAGAACAACCTAAAAATGTAGAACCTGTTAAAATATTTAGTTAATAGATAATGCAAACTAGATTAATATTTTAAACAATAACTTACAGGATCAGCAGGTCCACAGAATTCTCGAAATGTCTTTGTAAGATTATTCTGTTGAATCTCCATTGCTACACAAGGGCCAGAATACATTTCTGTTACCATCTCCTGTAATATATATATATAAAACAAACAAAATAATTTAATAAACTTTTACCTCTTCTCTCTTTAATATACAACTATTCCACTAATCTTGTGGAAGCCATCTTCAGCGTCTTTCCCATCTGTATCCCAAACACCAAACTGTTGCCAAATTCTGTCCATTTTTCCATGAAAAAATATTTTTTAGATATATTCCCTCATCTCTACCAATACTTTTTAATGTAATGTTTTACCATCCTACAATTCCATTATTTAAATTATTTTCTAATATATCTTCTTCTCAAAGGCCTCTCCTTGAACACAGTACAGTCAAAATAACATTCTTAAGAATATAAATTTTGAAGTTTTTCTCCTGAAGAACATTTTAAGGTCATAATATGTATTCTAGCAATAAGAAATAACAGGGGCAAGATTTATTCTCCCACATTAAACATTTAAAACTACACAAGATATAGGAAATTGCATCTTTCATACACTAGATGATTAGGTAAAACAGGACTATAACCAGGGAGAGAAGGGAAACAAAAGAGATGAATTATATAAATGTTCCATCTTACTGCCTAGAGGCAGTTTCCAGAGTATTCAGGAGCAGTTTCCAGACCAGGTGGATGAAACACAACAAAGTCTGTCATTCTCAATCAGTTGGAAAGACAAAGACTGGAGTTCAAGGTGGCCAACTCACTAGAATTTTCAGGGCAGAATATTGGAGGAATGAGGGGACCTATACAAAAGTAAGCTATAGGATCTGCAAAGAAGTTCACATGAATCTGTCGTAAATATAAAGAATCTATAGTAAATATAAAGGAAACTACCTGAGACCAGGAAAAGAATCACCAGAAAGCAGTAAATCAAATACTCACAGAGAAGGCACAAGACTAGGAGAGTTTGTACTTCTACAGCCAGAGTGAAAAGCCCTCATATGATACAAGGAACATTAAGTGGAGTCCTCAGAAGAATATTGTTTCATAGAAGTTGACCTAAATTAGCCTTAGATTATGAGATGCTCTGTACCCATCCTACAAAGCTTAAAATTAAGCCACAAAAAGGTTGAACTGATCCCAAGTAACTAAGTGCCAGAACAAAGTCAAGCACTCTTTAAAGGAATACAACAAAATCCACCATGTAACACTGTAAACTTCAAAATATCCAGCATTTAATAAAATAATTACCAGGCATGCAAAGCAGTAGAAAAATATGAACCATCAACAGAAGAAAACTCAGTATAAATACATATAAATACAGTAATAACAGATAATATAATTAACATAATAATGTTGAACAACTATTATAAATAAGCTCCACATGTTCAAATCACAGAAAGAAATATGGACATGATGAGGAGAAAATCCAAGATATTAAAAAGACCCAAATGGAAACTCTAGAGATGAAATTTAAAATGTCTAAATTGAAAAATACACTGGACGGGGCGTATATAGGGTAATACGCTAGGACACTGCAGAAGAACAAACTTCAAGGTATGCAATAGAAACTATTCCAAAGTAAGCAGGAGAGAAAAAACAATGATGAAAAATAAAATTACAAAAGACTTGTAGGACACTGTTAGGTTGTCTGTTACATGTGTAGTTAGAGTCCGAGAAGAGAAGAAAAGGTGATGAACAGAAAAAAAATATTTTAAGATATAATTGTTAAAAGTTTTTCAAATTTATTGAAACCCATAAACCTATAGAACCAACAAAAACCAAGGAGAATAAATGGGCAGAAAAGTACAATAGGGCACATCATGATCAAAGTAGCATAAAACAAAACCAAAAATCCTTATAAACAGCCAGGACAGTAAAAAGGCACATTATATAACAGCATAATAAAAATAAAGACGAAACAATGATGATAAAAAGAAAAACAATCTAGAATTCTATACTCCAGTGAAACAGTAATTTTTAAAAATTAAGAAAAAATAAATGCTTTTTTAGACAAACAAGAGCTGAGAGAATTCACCATCAGAGGCAGTATATCACAAGAAATCTTAAAGGATGTTCTTTAGACAGAAGAAAAAAAATACTAGACAAAAATATGGATCTACACAAAACAACAATAGACGTAAGTATAAAATGCATTTTTTTTTTACTTTTAGTTGCTTTGAAAGATAATTTACTGTTTAAAGTGAAAATTTTTTTTTTTTTTTTTTTTGAGACAGAGCCTCCAGCTGTCCCCCTGGGTAGAGTGCCATGGCATTACAGCTCACAGCAACCTCCAACTCCTGGGCTCAAGTGAGTCTCCTGCCTCCGCCTCCCAAGTAGCTGGGACCACAGGCGCCCGCCACAACGCCCGGCTATTTTTTGGTTGCAGCCGTCATTGTTGTTTGGTGGGTCCGGGCTGGGGATTCGAACCCGCCACCCTAGGCGCACGTGGCTGGCGCCCTAGCCGGTTGAGCTATAGGCGCCGAGCCTAAAGTGAAAATATTAACAGTAAACCGCAGGACTTATAATATTTATAGAAGTAAAATGTATGAAAACAACACCAGGTAGAATAGTAGGAAAAGAAGATTTTTATTAGGTGGTATAATTTAAAAAACCGATCCAAAAAAGGGCCTCTCACAATTCTAGAATACTCAGTAAATCTTTTTTTCTCCCCCTTGAATTAGGATCAAGGCTGGTGTGGGATATGCCTCCATGAGTGTCTTTATCCTATATGTGGGTCCCTATGAAAGTTTTGAGATACACAAAATATCAAGAAACATAAAATTCACATGGAGGTAAAATCCACATGAAGCACTCCCAGCAGTACTGATAAGCCAAGGAAGTTGAAACTTGCACCGGTGAATCAGAAAGGACACTGTCAACTATGTTTCTTAGACATGAAATCATGGACTCTAACAGTCTGTCTCAAAACTTTCATAGTGACCCACACATATAATTAAACTATAATATAACTTAAGGTAGTTGCCTTTAACTATATTTTTTTAAAAGTCAAAATGAACAAATCAAAGGAGGATAAAATAAAAAGATTTAAAACAATGGAAAACAGTTGTCACTGGTTGAATAAATAATTTTAAGATAAGAATACATTCTCAAATCTCTTCCATTTAAAAAGAGAATGGCCATAACTCTAACTGAAGAACTTGGTAAGATTAAACTTTGATAAGCTACCAAAACAAGCAAACAAACAAAAAAACCCACTCTGGTCTTTCAAAGAAGGGTAGACTACAATCAGGGGGCCAGACCCAAAATAAAATATTTAATAATTGGCTTTTATCATATAGGGCTAACTATGAGAAAAGCTCTTAAACTAGTGCATTATTCCTTTTTTTAAGAAAGGCTTAAGGCAAAGGGCATAGAAAAGTGAGGAGAAAGAAATCCAGTATCATCGTTATGAATTGTAAAACTTAGTGCCACAGTTTTGAAAAGCCAAAACACCTTGGGTATTAGGCAATGTACTGGCACAAACATATTGAAAATAATTTGATAGAGAGGCGGAAAAGGAAACTAAGTTGTATGAAATATCTACTGTATGCTACATTAAGGAACACAATTTGGCTTATTTGAATATAGTCATTTGTTTTCAAAAACACATTTCGTTGACCTTTGTACAGATCCCTTTAAGTCATTATTTCTTCAGTATCAATCACAATTTTAATTTCATCTACATTTGCCTCATTAAGGGAGATATTAAGTGCTGCTGTGGAGTGATACTGTACTGTTAAGAACTACTTTTTTCCTATTTTTAGAGAAATGGAGTCTTGCTATGTTGCTCAGGCTGGTTTTGAACTCTTGCTCTCAAGCAATCTTCCCACTCCAGACTCAAAGTGCTAAGGATTACAGGCATGAGCCAGGGCACCTGGCCAAAAACTATGCACTTTTAACTTTCTAAAGCATTTTGGACAGTGTTCTCTCTACTCTGAGTATATTGTAAACTGAGACTATTAGACAATGTTGAAATATGTCAATATCTCAGCAAGGTTTGTTATTATAGATGCCTTTTTTCTTTTCCCTTTTAAAAAATCCCTTCTATATATTTTTGTTTCACAAATGAAATAATATTATATTTTCTATAGGCCCTTAGGAATAAAAATGCCCCAGTCACTGGGTGTGATCATCTGGTGACTAGGAAAAAGAATACTGTAAGATATATTTTCATGATTGTCCGTTATACTGAGATCCTTAAGATTTGACATATGCAAATTGTTTTCAGCACTGTCAAAGGAAAACAGTTTTAACATATAGCTTAAAGAACTCAATTGGCTTTATTCATGATTCTACAATCAGGCAACATTCCATAAAATATAGTAAGTATTCCAATGAGCTGAGCAGAGGGGGTTGGTTTTATAGACAGAAAAGGGCTGCCAAAAGGAAAAACAGAACAAAAAATGAATTGGTTATTTAAAAGTTGCTTTTCTTGTAAGGCTACAACAGAAAAACAGAACAACAAAAAATAACTAATTGGTTAACATCAGCTTATTCCAGGTAATTTTTTGTTTTAAGGATTAAAGGCAGAGGGAACTTCACTGAAACGGACCTATTTAGGAAATTTAGCTGCTATCTCTCTCTCTGGATTTCTCAGCAGAAAGTCAGGTAACAACTTGTTTTCAGTCGGGTGACGGAATTTTAGCCTAAGTGACTTCATTTTGATTTTTAGTCTAATCTCCTGTAGCCTAGTACAGGGCTTAGTCTAAAACAATGGCCTCCTGTGATTTTTATTTTAACAGATGCTTTACTTTGCTTTCATACTTACATTATACTCAGATACTACTCCTTTATATACTTCATAGAACTCTTCTACATTAACCCGATCCATGTTGAACTATATTAAAAAATAAAGTAAAACAAAACTGTAAGCCAACTAACAAAAGAAAAACAAGTGAACCACACTTAGTTCTTAATATTTATGATTTCTTGGATATATTTTCTTTACTTTAAAATGTAAACCTATAATAAGTTACTCTTTGAAGAAATGATATTATTAAAGATCAACCCATCGATAATACTGGATAACATTTGTTGAGTACTTACTGTGTCAAGCATGGTTGTAAGTTCTACACATACGTCATCTCATTTAACCTTCACAACAACTCTACCTCAGAGGTAGTATTAATAGTTCCAATTCACAGATGAGACTACTAAGATTCAGAGACATTCTATAACCTCCCTAAACCAATATTCTCTTCAAAGCAGTCTGATCCCATTAATCAGGCTGGTACCTACTACACTATACCTCTCCCTGAATAAAATCTCATTCCTGATAACAAAGAAAAAAAAAAAAAAGGTTTACATGCATTGTTAACTGCTTTATCCATAGATTTATTGACACAAGAAATAAATATCATTAAAGCACAGTATTCCAGACTTTTAAAGGAGGCAGAAAAACAAAAACAAAACCACTTTCTTTTTTTTTTTTGAGACAGAGCCTCAAGTTGTCACCCTGGGTAGAGTGCTGTGACATCACAGCTCACAGCAACCTCCAATTCCTGGGCTCAAGCGAGTCTTCTGCCTCAGCCTCCCAACTAGCTGGGACCACAGGCGCCTGCCACAACGCCCAGCTATTTTTTGGTTTCAGCTATCACTGTTGTTTGGCAGGCCTGGGCTAGATTCGAACTCGCCACCTTAGGTGCATGTGGCTGGTGCCTTAGCCACTTGAGCCGCAGGCACTGAGCCACAAAAACATTTTCCTCCCAAGTCGTCAGAAAAATTCCTATTCAGTCTGATTCATAACACTTTAACAAGTTCTCTGGACTTCATAAAGAATTGTAAAGTTTTGCTTACAACATAAGCCTAGAAGGACTCAGTGTTACCAATGCTGAATTTAAAATTTAGTTAAGTGCCAGGCTCTCAAAAACTAAGACCTTCATTTTTTTCTTTTTTTATTTTTGAGACAAATTCTCACTTTGCTGCCCTTGTTAGAGTGCCATGGTTGTAGTTCACAGCAACCTCAAACTCTTGAGCTCAAGTGATCCTCTTCCCTCAGCCTCCCAAGCAGGTGGGAGTACAGGTGCCCACCACAATGTTTTTAGAGACGGGGTCCAGCTCTAAGACCTTCATTTTTAAAATAAATAGCCTCAGAATTTCTGATTTTATTTTAACCCTTATTCTGCTTCTCTATTATTGCCAAGATTGAAGATCACTGAGAAATTTCTGCCTATACAGAAAATAATTCAATTTGGGAGGATTTATTTTTATAGGCAACATTACTACTATAGGGAAAGAATTCTGTCTGGTTTCAGTGTTTTTTCCCTATATTCACAGAACTTTACTTATGAATGCAACAGAATATCAACAGAGATATAATCTATGAAATACTTAGCAATTTGAGCTGGAAATGATTATTTCATGTAACCTGCGGAATAACCCATTTCAGCAAGTAATAAAGTTCTCATTGCCTAGATGAGAAAACCGTGAATAAGAATATTTGACATTGACCAAGGTCACTGCCTAGCTGATCCTGACTCAGAAACAGATCTTTCTGACTAAAAGTTGCCCATGCTATACTACCATTACTCACCTATAGGTTCAATTAATCATATTTTTATTATTTTTTTCTCATTGAGCACCAACTATAGCCAATCATTGTGCTAGGTTACAGGCCTAGAGTTAAGTCAAGTGTTCAAAACTAACATTTCTACAATTATTATTTTTTAAGTAGGCTTAGGTACCATCTTATGATTTCAATAAAACATTACCAAGCTAACACTTTTAGAAAGTTTTGGCTAATATTTTTTTATAATCTAAGCTAAGATTCTTGAAATATCAATTTTCTCATTAGTCTGTAAGTTTTGCTTGATGACTTTGTAAACTGGTTGATATTTTTAACTTTTTTCTTTTGGCTTATTGGCACAAACTAGGCAGAAACCCAGTTTTTTTGTTTGTTTGTTTTGGTTTGGTTTTTGAGATAGAGTCTCATTATGTTGTCCTCAGAAGAGAGTGCCATGGCATCACAGCTCACAGCAATCTTAAGCTCTTGGGCTCAAGCAATTCTCTGGCCTTAGCCCCCCAAGTAGCTGGAACTATAGGTCCCTGCCACAACAGCTCACTATTTTTTTGTTGTTGTAGTTATCATTGTTGTTTAGCAGGTCTGGGCCAGGTTCGAACCTGCCAGCCCAGGTGTATATGGCCAGTGTCCTAACCATTGAACTACAGGCACCGAGCCAAGAAAGAAACCCAGTTTGTGATGTGACCCCTGATTTGGGTGATCCTAACCTAGCAGTTTCTTTTCAGAAAAAGAGGATATAAATAATATTGGTAAGAAAATTATCAGCTTCATAATGGGTATTTTGGTATTTTACTATCAAAAAAAGCATAATCTTAATAGACTTCAAACATTGTAAAAACCAAATTGCTTATCTGATTCATATAATAATTTGCTACCCAATTTCTTGTCAAATGCCCCAGGGAATACAGCGGAAAGGGATGACTTCTACCAGAGGGGATGCTGTTGTTCAATGAAGGGTTTCCTAGGTATGTATAAGTAAAGCAATTCTGGACAAATATGGGCTCTGGAGGTCCATTGGCACAAGTGCCAACAGAGGTGCTGAAATATCCTAACTTCAAAGAATGTCCTGAGGAAAAGTCCAGAAACCAACCAACCTCTCTGATGTCAGTCAGAGGAGACATCTGAAGTGATTCTCTTCCTTCATTATCTATTTAGGAATCCAGAAGACAGAGAAGTGACTACGTACTTTGATTCTACTTTTCATTTAAAAGAAGACACTTTGGGCCCGGGGCCTGTGGCTCAAGCGGCTAAGGCGCCAGCCACATACACCTAAGGTGGCGGGTTCAAATCCAGCCCAGGCCCACCAAACAATAATCATGGCTGCAACCAAAAAATAGCCGGGCGTTGTGGCGGGCGCCTGTGGTCCCAGCTTCTTGGGAGGCTGAGGCAGGAGACTTGCTTGAGCCCAGGAGTTGGAGGTTGCTTTGAGCAGTGAAGCCATGGCACTCTACCCAGGGGGACAGCTTGAGGCTCTGTCTCAAAAAAAAAAAAAAAAAAAGAAGACACTTTGGGGGGGTCCTTATTTATTTTGTGAAGTTCAAAGAATTGTACGAACTTACTTTATAAGCTTTTTAGGGATATCATTTGAATATTAATTTTCTCAGTGTAAGATTACATTGGTACAGTTATTTCAAAAAACACTTTTGTATTATAAGAATTTTATTCAATTCCGTAAATATATTTTATTTTTAATATGCTGTGTTCATGACTGCATAGAGAACATTCGATATAAAATATATTAAAGCTTATTTTCTTTAAAAAATTTCTGGCTCATTGTGACCTACCATCTGCATAGCTGAGACTTCAAAACCTGCATCTCGGATAGCCATCAGGATCTTCCCTAATAGTCCTGAAAACGAAGAACAAATAGGAGCAAAAAGGTAAGGCCTTTAGTTTCTTAGAAAGGAAAGTTTTCTACATAAAAGCACTTTTCTTATTTTCTATTTGAAGAAAACATATTTTTTGCAAAAGAAACCAAATCCCTAACACTGAGCATTACATTTAATCATTTGATTCCTTCCATAAGTACCTTTAGAATATCAAATAGTCCTGTGGTTTATAGCATAAACCCAAGTAAAGGTGATAAATGAACCTATACAATTGAAAGATTTCTACATTTTAAATGAAGTAATACAATATTATTAACTCTAAGTAGACTCAAGTAAAAATTGAGGATGTATTTTTTATTTCTTAGAATAGCAATTATTACTTAGGAACTTGTTAGAAATACAAATTCATAGGACCAACCTAGACCCACTAAATTACAAATTCAGAGAGTAGAGCTCATAAATTATTGCTTTGACAAGACTTCTAGGTAACTCTGTTACATACTAAGGTTTGAGAACCACAAGAAAAGATAATAGTCAATATTAAAAAAAAAAAGAAGAGGAATTGAAAACAAATATAAAATAGTATACTTAAAACCAATCCCAATTACATTAAGTGTTAGTGGACTAAAAATTCCCATAAAAGCAGCAATTTTAGATACCTTAATAAGAACCAATTATATGCTATATATAAGAAACCAACTTTAAACATAAAGACACAGGTAGAATGAAAGAAAATGGATGGAAAAAAAGATATTCCATGTAAACAATACATAAAAGAAAGTGGGAGTCATTATATTAGTTTCAGATAAAATAGAATTTATAAGAGAATATTTCCAGAGGTAAATGTCTAGTACTTTATAAAGAGAGTACCCTGTACAGAGAGCTGGAGGAGAATAAATATTCTTGGCAAAAGGAGCATTAAGCAAAGGTGCAGAAGTGCAAAACACCATGGTTCTCTTTGAATAAAAGTATTTCCATATCAGTGAATAATAGAGAAAAGAGGAAAAGGACAGGAGAGAAGGTAGGAGAAGTGGTAGGAGCCCTGATAGCCATATACTGAGGTTTAGATTTTATCCTACAGACCACAAGTTCAGTTTTCAAATTTTATAGTGTCATGGAGCCTTTACCTCTTAGAACGTACTAAAGACTCTAAATAACTTTTATTTATATAGGCTATATCTATCAATATTTATAAATTATACATTTAAAATTTAAAAAAATATTAAATATAATAAAAATCCTTTGAATATTAACTTAACCTTTTTGTGGAAAAAAAGGCCAATTTTTTTTTTTAGTGAGAAGAGTGACACTGTTTTACATTTTTGGAATATCTTTAATGTCTGATTTAATGGAAGGCAGCTGGATTCTCACATCTATTTCAGCTTTCAATCTATTACAATACATTGTTTTGGTTGAAGTATTTTTAGCTTGAAAATGGCAGAGTTTTTTCCTTTGAGACACAGTCTCACTCTGTTGTCCAGGCTAGAGAGCTAACCTGATATGGCATCAGTTTAGCTCATAGCAACCTCAAATTCCTGGGCCCAAGCAATCTTCCTGCCTCAGCTTCCCAAGTAGCTTGGGTGCTGTGGGAACCACTACAATGGTTGGTTAATTTTTCTAGTTTTAGTAGAAAATGAAGTCTCATTTTTGCTCAGGCTGGTCTCAAATTCCTGAGCTCAAGAGATCTTCCTGCCCTGATGTCCCAGAGAGAAAGGATTGTAGGCATGAGCCACAGTGCCTGGCCAAAGATGGAATATTTTAATAGCCTTGTAAAATAAGCTTTATTTACGTGACAAATGGTAATTTCTTAAAATGTCATTGCAATGTATAATCTAAAACCTTTATCAATAAACTTTTTTACCCTGTTATATAAAAATCCATTGGTCTATCTGGTATGTACATAGAATGAATCTTTGACCTATGCGTGATTTGTGACACCACACATTGATCATATGGCAGATAGTGGTTCACTGAGTTTCTTGATTTTTCAAATGCTGATTGATATTATTATATTACACATCAAAAAAATTCATATTTATCGATTTCACCACCAATTTCATCAGAATAGCCTTTCATAGGCAAAATGTGAAATTGTAGTTAAATGTGTCTTTATTTACAAAATATTCATTACAAAATTTTACAAAGAGGTGGCCACACATGGAGAATATTTCATAAATACTTTGTAAAATTTTGTAATGAGTATTTTGTAAATAAAGGTACACTGAGCTACAATTTCCCATTTTCCCTATGAATAGTGACTTTAGGGGTGATTTGGGGGACAACTGTATTACACAATGTATTGGGAAGCTGTCAAGCTCAAGGTGGTAAATATATTCTCCAAGATTCTACTTTTTATTTTCATTTGTAATTTATCTTAATTTCTTTGTTTTTCGCAGAGTTCCTATAAATAGTTACAGCTTACATTATGCCTAATAGTGAAAAACTATGCAAGAGGAAACAAGGAAAGAATGTCCATTCTCATTGCTGTTATTCAATATAGTACTAGAAATCCAAGTCAGTACATCAAGGCAAGAAAAAAAGAAAAGCATACAGATCAGCAAGGCAGAACTGCAACTGTCTATATTTGTATATGACATGATTGTCCACATAGAAAATCCCAAATAATCTACAAAAGAATGAGTCTAGAACTAATAACTGATCTCAGCAAAGTTGCAGGATATAAGATGAATGTACAAAAATCAGTTGTTTTTCTAAATATGAACAAATAATACATATCTGAACCCTGAAATTAAAAATACAATTCTATTTATAACTGCTCAAAAAGAAAAAATGTTAGGTGTAAATCTAACAGAACATGTATATGAAAACTACAAAATGCTAGATGAAAGATACAAAGAAATAGAGAGTCGTCGGTTTTGATGATTTGGAAGATTTAATATAGTAAAGATGTCAATTCTCCTAAAACTGATAAATAAGTTTAGCACAATTTCCATCAAAATTCCAGTAATATTTTTTGCACACATAGATAAGATTATTCTACAATTACTTGGAAAGGTAAAGAAACTAAAAAGGCTGATACAGTTTCAAAAATAATAAAATTGGGAATCACTCTATCCAGTATCATGATTTATTTATACAGCTATAGTAGCCAAAAGACCATATAGTATTATCCGTGACAGACGTATAGACAAAGGAACAGAAAACCCCAAAATGAACCCACACAGATATGCCCAACTGATTTTTTACAAAGGTGCCAAAGGAATTCAATAGAGAAAAGATAAACCTTTCAACAAACCCAGTAACATGTAAGTTAGGAAATATATTCTCCACAAGAGTTACTTCCCAGAAGCAAGTCTACCCTATAGAAGGATAACACAAATTTCATGGGAGAAAATTAGCTCTCTCATAGATAGATAGATAGATAGATAGATAGATAGATAGGATGGGCTAGTCACACATTATTTCATGTAATCCTTACAACAGCTCTAATATGAATGAAATGTTTGTGTCCTTCTGAAATTCTTATGTTAAGATACTAACCCCCAATGTGATGGTATCAGGAGGTAGGGCCTTTGGTGGGTGTGATTAGATCATGAGAGTGGAACCCTCATGAACAGGATTAGGACTCTCACTAAAGAAAACACCAAAGAGCTTTTCTACCCCTTGTATCATGCAAAGACACAGAGTGAAAAAGCCATCAATGAGAAATGGGCCCTCGCCATATATAGGGCCAGAGAAATGGGCCCTCGCCAAGTCAAATAGCAATACCTTGACTTGGACTTCCCAGAATGCAGAACTGTGAGAAATATTTGTTGTTTAACACACCCAATCTACACTATCTTGGTTATAACAGCCCAAATGGGCTAAAGCAATCCCTATGTGGAAAGTACTATTATAATCTTCACTTTATAGATGTTTAGCATCTATGCTCAAGGATTAAACAACATATCCTAATAGCAAGAAAGTGATAAAAGTGAATTTTAAACCCACTTCTGCCTGCCTCCAACATTTTATTATGTTATACCATGATAAAATAAATAATGAAAATATGTAATTGGCTTATACATATCATTCAATTGGATACTTTGGGTACATATAAAAGTATTCATATATCCATGTGAGATTATATATATATATATATGTATATACACACACATACACACGAGAAACTTATCTGTTTTGGTCTTGTGGATATATACTATAAAATCCATAACAGAGATGAATATAAAATGTATATCTAGTAAGTTCTGAATTGTTCAGATCATCGTGTAATTTGATTTATTGATTTTTCAGACTTTAAGATTTTCTTCCTTCTTACCAAGTCAATGCTTATCAAATTTGACAGAAAAGAGGAAAAAAATGACAACTTTATTATTAATAATGCTAGAAACCTGCCATATAGAAAGAAAATCATTAAACTTGTTAACAAAGTAGATGGATATAGTTTTCTAAATTATAACAAAATTGGGTTTCATAGCTAATAATCTAATCGTTTCCTTTTGACATAAGTCTTGGTATCATAAATATTTCCTGTGGAAATAACTTATTCTAATGTTACCGTGTTTCCTGGAGGCAGTATTTTTTTCCCCTGAGATCATAATTTCTATACTCTGGGTAACCTGCATACCTGAAAGAAACTTTGCAGACAATGAACCCACTCTTGCACCCTGGAAAATTTTGAAAAACACCTTTAGCACGGATGTTAAACTTACTCCTGCAGCAAGACACAAATGACAAAAAAACCCTACTTATGATAATGAGAGTCCACGAAGAAGACACTTTTGTAAGAAAACAACTTACAAAAGCTGTAGCCAGGATGCATACAAGACAATTCACCATAACCTGGATGCTTTGCTCCACCATCTAGATCAGCGGTTCTCAACCTGTGGGTTGCGACCCCTTTTAACTGTATTAAATGCTTGTGGCATTAGGAAGGTTGAGAACCACTGATCTAGATAATAAATAAGGGTGGTGAGAAATTAAACTGGAGGATTAAAAAATAATAAAATGGCAATAAAGAAACTTATACTTTATTTTGATAAGAACCTGTGAAAGTTTT